TAGTAGTAGTAGTAGTAGTAGTAGTAGTAGTAGTAGTAGTAGTAGTAGTAGTAGTAATATCATCACCATGTTCAATATTTTTATTGAAGACTTGCTTGTTGCTTCTTTGAAACAACCAGCTTTTGTRGGGTCTATTGYCAATAGAAGAAGCAAAAGAAAATTTGAGACATTTGCTCTGTTATACTTCACCCAAGCTTGGTGGAATGACTACTGGTAGCAATATCATTCAACTTCTCTAAGTCACTGATGGAAGTGCATAGTGCAAGATCAAGTGGCGGAAAATAATTTGATAGTTGTTGTAGGAGGCATCAACAAAATATAGTTTGAAGATGCTGAACATATTGTTATTCAGAAGCTKGTATTTCTTCTGGAAGAAATCTTTATTTTTGGTACAATCCTACAAAGAAATTGAACTTTTGAGAAATATCCCTCCTACTAGTACAAACAAATGTGAAGGGAATGAACATGCAACTACTGCTGTTGTTTTATATCACYTTGTCAAAAGAAGGTTTGAATTTAAGGGGAACCAATTCTCCTTTCTTGAATGGGTTGCCCCAGATTTAGATAATGGTTTTCATGAATTCATTTGTACAAGAAGGGCAACAAATTTTAAGGAAAGATGTGGGCCCTACCAGAACCAATGGGATGTGAAGCCACAACAAAGGCTCCACAGAACTATTTCTGGCAAAAAGAAATATGTAAATGGTGGCAATCACTCATCCTCCAGTGTTAAAATTATTGGATGTTGGTCATAGTTGAATAGGTGTATTGTTCTTCTGATCACTTAATCATTTTTATTTTTATTGTCAACATTTACTCATCACATTAAGTGTGGTAGTCTGATGGATAATCCACACAATGTAACCGAGCACAGCACCGAGCACTGCATGATCAAACTGTTTAAATGAAAATAAATGCATGCATTTGTTGTTGATTACTACTACTAYGATCCTGATAGCTGCATTTGTTTGTTGATTACTACTACTGTASTTGTAGCACCAWYTTCATCTGATGTTTACTCCATTTGTGCTGAAAGTTATGTGGTGTTGAAAATAGTACCATGTGCAAGTTACTGAATTTCAATTTGGCCGTATATCAAATGCTAGATCACTAGTAATCCAATTCAATGTTCAGTGATGAGCGCAGTTCTTGTCAACAAATGTAGYAATGAGGAGTACAACTAGAGTTCTTCCTTGATGTAAGCACTCTGGCACTGTTTAAGCAACCACTGAGGCGCATAAGTGAAAGAATAACCCAAAGCTAAAGATGTTTTCCTTCACACCGAAGTACTAGTAAATTCACCAAATAATAGCAACAATGGAGCTATGAATGGCTGAGAGGATCACGATTATTGATAAATCGAAGGTTGAATAAAATATTATCAAAAGAAGCACGTTCTGACCTATATATTGACTGTTGCGCTTTTTATTACTTGTTTCCGATCAATATCAACCGCTGGGCAGATGCCGCCGTAGCTAGAGGAAAACAAAACCCACGATGCAAGCAATAGCGATAGCACCCTGGATCAGTGCCGGCAGGGCATGGGATGGATCACCACCGAGGAATGCAATCGTTTCCACTCCACCTCGAAACGTAAACAGGAGTGCTCCCGTCAAAGCGGCCTGCTTGACCAACCCACCGCTCTTCAAATCAACGAGTTGGCTATCGATTCCCCCCTCGGACTCAGCCTGTGCGCGTTTCAGGTCCTCGATGGCATCTTCCACGTTCTTGGTTTCCGCATTGACTYTTTCCAGCATTTTTTTCATGTTTCCCTGGGCAACCTCCATCCGCTGTTTGTATTCTTCGGTCTTTTCGAGACTTGCTTTGGAATTCCGTTCGGCCTGTTCCTTGGCAAGCGATGCCTAATAGAAAAACGTTCGTTTGAATACAGCAACAAGAATTGCATTCAGTATGAGGTAAAGACCCTAAAGATTAGACTAGAATGCATCCCGAACGCATTCTGCAAAGCAGGCCGCAAGGGATCGATAAAAAAACTTCTTGTTCGTCGTCACCCAGTCGACGGGGACTGGCCGGGTTCAAAAGTGTTGCATTAGGGAGATTTCGAGAGATCATTCCAATCACAAKTCAAAACCTACCTGTTCCGCGCGAATTTCGTCTAGTTCCTTCAACAAGTCMTCGTTGGCCTTGTCAAAAATCTTCTCGATCTCCGACATGATTTCTTGGTTGTCCAAGAATGATTCTTTGGCGTCTGCTATGTCAACGTTTTGGTTTTGTTGCTTCGCTTCTTGGATGGCCTCCTTGATAGCCTTGTCCATAAATTTTTCCGTGTCGATGGTTGGCAACCCTTCGTCATCGCTGCTATCCGCCATCTCCAGGTCGGTCTTAAAGTCGGCGGCGATCAGGTCTTCCTGGGAGTCCGCCACGTCGAGTTCCGATGCCATGTCCTTATAGAGTTCGACCTCGGATTGGGGAGAGGGGGATTCCMCCGACGACTCGGCATCGRCCTGCGAAAGGATGTCCTTCAGGTTCAATTCATCGATCGCTTTTGCAAACGCCGCGTCCTTTTCTTTCGGTTTGCTCGTGGGTCGCTCCGGATYGTCTTCATCTCCCAGGGATTGAAGGGCCTCGAGTTCTCGAAAGGCATCTTCCATTCCCGCGCCCTTGTTCAATTCGTCATCGTTTCCACCAACATAGAGTCGAACTCCGTTTTGTCGCTTCTTTATTGTGTTGTGTTCTTGTAATGATCGGGGAAAACTCCCGACGTTGCTCCCGGTCGACCGCGTTGACGAAGAAATGTGAAATCCGTCCGACAGAGACAACGCAGTAAGCGCAAGMACGGCAATAAAAATTTCCATAGTCTCCCAGCTGATCCAATTTCGTATCTCAGAGAGTTTTCCAGTATTTCGATCGGCACTGTATCCAAACCCTTCTTATCTTCTTAGACTAYAGTTGTGAGCACCTGCTGTACAAATTGCAACGAAGAACGGTGATCGGTTTTGGTGATGTCATCGCATCAATTTGGASTGCGTGACAATTTTTGRAGATGAGTGAAGAAATTTTACTGCGTTGACTTGAACATGAAGATCTGGCCTTCTGTCCGTATGAGTTTATATAGTTTAAAATCGATGTGACGTGCGACGTTGTCTTTTCGTGATGTGCCGTCATGTTGCTCCGTCTCCCGGTAACGGGGAGCGGATCTCRTGATAATGTTGGAGTTATYGGGTCAGTCAGGYCACTGGACATCCCGACCCCACGCGGTAAATGGACGAGAGACCGCAACGTTTTTGCTTTTGCTTGATTCAACTTACGAGGTCAATAACGTTAAAGAGTTACCTATCCGGGAAGCGCTTGGGTTGACACTCCTGTTGTAGCATTGTGATAGCTTTTTCGTGTTTTTTGGGAAGGGGAATCGATGTCGAGACCTCTCTCTCACTGCGCTTCCACCTTTCCAGCTACGGAATCCCGGAGTACGTGATGTACCAGCAAGAAGCCAAGGAAACTACTGACCATTAMAAAATCATTGAAACCATATTACTACTRGGAGTGCTTTTTTCGAGCWGACAGGATTCATTCTACTGTTTCTAGTTGTTATTTATATTCAGCCAACCTTCTAGTAGACCACTGGAGTATGTTTTTTGTTCCCACCAAATGGAGGATGCAGAGGAAGCTCCTTTTTTTTAATGTGAAAATCATTTTTTTCGTTAAATAAATCTGGTTCAATCAACATTTCTTCGTATTTGTTACATCATCAACATATAAAATCAATATTAGTATATATTAACAGCTCCATGTGACAAATACAACTACTGATCCTCGGCAAGCCATTGTCGCAGTGAAGACGATATAGCCGCRGTATCTTTGTGGTCTGGTCCRAAAATAGCTTTGTACATGTCAAGAGCGTGTTGCAGATGGGACACGGACAACTCGTGGGAATTGGGGGCATCCTTTTGACGGTAAATTGTAGCACATTTGATATGAGCCTTGGCCTTTTCGGTTTGCGAAGCAGAGGGACTGTCGGCCTTAACTTCCTCCAGAAGACTGGTGTAAGCACGCAATGCCCCGTTGCTGTCACCAATYTTCAGCTTGAGAGACCCAATTCGACCCAGGGCAGCGACGAGATGCTTGTGAGCGGTATTTTTGCCCGTCTCCGGTGGTCGAAGAGGATCMCGCTGTAGTTCTGCCAAAGCAGTTTCGTATTGTCGAAGTCCGGCAACGCCTTCCTCGTAACACGATATAGCCTCTCTAAGGTCGCCCTTCTTGGAACGAATCGAGGCAATATTGAGATTGATGAGTGTCACGTCGTAGTTCCATTTGATTTCGAATTCAGGATCACGAATCAATGGAGTTGGTACGGCCATGTACGTTAACTTCGCGGATTCATAATTTTGCAGGGCCGCATCCATTCGTCCATGCTTTGCAAGAAGAATAGCATACGCGTTGATGGTTTTTGCAACAGGCACGGAATGTTCRCCGTAGACAATCTTTCGCATTGAAATGACTTCTTCAAACATTGACTGCGCCTTTTCCATGTCTCCGAGGTCAACCAAGAGCGAGGCCAAACTCTGAGCATTGGCAATAGAATTGTAGTGCAGGGTAGCGTTGCAAGATTCGTATATTCTTGCAGCTTCTGCGAACTTTATCAGAGCAATCCTTGGCTCMGATAGTTTTACCAATGCCCTTGCCGCAGTTTGCAGCGCGTTGGCAACCTACAWAAGGAGCAGATACAATAGACAGAAGTACAAAATGTAAGCGATGTTCGACGGCACTTGATGGCTTTTCGTGTGTCACCTGACACACGCAATGGAACGAAACAACTGAAGAGGGCCAGGCCCGCGACAAGACTCACCCTAGTGTTGTACGCTCCCAGTAATTCCTTGTACAGACCAACTGCTTCTTCCAGCCTCAGCATCGCATCGCGCGGCTGTCGCGACTTCATTAGACCTTCTCCAACCGCCGCAAAACACATCGCCATGCCCAGAGAATCTGGTTTGCTCTCGTTCTTGTTGGCAACCCGGGAAATCTCGTCAATGATGATGCGCGAACCCTCTCGGACGATCGAGTTGACGTCTACCTTCGTGGGAACYGCCTTGCCACGTSCACCCTCCTTTGTGGATTTTCTCGAGATGGTCAGAGTAGCATTTCCCGCCAGGCGACGAAGCTCCTGGAGGTCCGCAACTTGTCGGCTGGTTGCCTCGACAATGCCCAGAGCGTTGGCCCTCCTGCCAATGAAGTGAGGATCAGACAACACCTCTGCCGCCGTAGAGTAGATCTCACAACGGATCAAGTGACCCGGRAAAAAGGTTACAATGTACTCCTCCATCTTGTCACCTCCCGGTATTACGGCAACGTCGATCTGGGATTCTCTGAGAGTRTCYACAATGGACGTTGAATTCGTCATTCCGTCACCCACTTCCAACAACGATGTCAGCACAATCTTGTGCGCTTCGTTGCCCTGGAAGCCCGTGAGCGGGGTCGATCCGTTGGAAAGTTGCTGCACGAARAACCTGAGGGGAGTTTGCCACAGTGTGCTAGATTCGGTACAGATCTTTCTCTCGTCTTCGATCTTTCCGGARAAGGAAGTAAAATCGTCCGTATCCGGAGAAAGACACGGGGTCGATCGCTTGGCCATTTCCTCTGCTACCGACTTCAGCGACTCGTGCATGACCCAGGACTGCTGGGCCTTGTGAATCTGCGCCTCGTCCTCGTCGTCCCAGTCCGAATCGGAATCGTTGTCGTTCGAGGATGCCCTGTTTTGTTTCCTTGCCAGAGAGAGTTTTTGGGCGGCGGTCAGGGCTCTGGAAGCCACWCCGTGGCGGGCGTGCTCCATGAGATTCAGATTTTGGAGCATCGTGACAATGGCGCCGGGGGAAACGTCCTTGGAGGCCTCGTCCGAAGAAATTATCGTTTTGAAAAGTCTCAAGACCACKGAATGGGGAACGCCCCGGCCCGATAGCATCCAGTCGTTATCACGGAACGCCATGGCAAAGGCAACAAAACAACGCCGCAATGCGATGCGCGTGTGGACATCGGCCACGGTGAAGAACGACAAATCTACGACACGGTTTACGGCATTCACAAAACTTCTCAGTTGAGAGGCTTCCTCTAGATTCAACCGGCACTGATGAATCAGGGCCGACCAAGAGGGGGAGTTGATGTTCCAGCTGCGGTTGCTGTGGCGGAGCATGCTYCCGGAAACTCGTACCGCGAGGGGAGAATTTCCGCACCCYTTGACGATCAGCTTGGCCTGGTGAAAGACRGTCGAATTTTTYCCTCCATAGGGACGGCGCCCGGCGGTCGACAAGAGAAGCTTCACGGCCTCCGTCTCGGACAAGATCCGAACAAATACCTCTTGRACCAGACCCGGACCGAGCAGATTGGGAGTCCTGGTGGTCATCAGTATCCGGCTGTGGTATTCGTCGTCCTCGACAAGGGRKTCGGAGTTGCTCCTCCGTTTTTTCTTGGCCTTGTTGGACCGGTTCAGCATTTGGTTGTCAAAGATGAACCACTTGGCGTCTTCGACCCTCCAGACATCRTCCAGACAAATCAACACCTTCTTCTTGGCCAGCAGTCGTCCGAGGTCCTCTTTGATTCCGTCCAGGTCACCTCCCTGAAACCTCCGGCGCGTTTCGGCCAGGGTCGCCAGCCTCTGGCGCTTGCTTTCGTCCTTTGCATTRTTGTTGTTGCTCTTGGCCTCGTTGGCATCGAAACTCGATCCTCTCGAGCTCGAGCGYGCCCCCCCAATCTTGTTGCCGTTGTCGTTTTCGTCCTCCAAAAAGTCGTAATCGGTGCCRAGCAGGCTGTCGTCCGTTGTTTTGACGACGAGCTGTCGATACAGCTCTTCGTACAGCCGGCGAATGTCTCTATCCAGCAGTGGTCCCCTTCCCAAATGAATCCAGGCGATTCCATCCGTGAAGCGTTCGCGAACCTCGACCGTTTGAATGGCGGCCACCGCCAAAATGGTCTTGCCGTTCCCGGCCTTGTCGCCGTGGCGCGATGTGATGGAGGTGACGATGGGGTTCTGTTCCGTCTTGCACTCCTCGTCCGTGTCGCGGGGTCCCGCTCCGTTTAGTTCCAGGAGGCAACTCACGACTTGTTTCATGAGACGGTGGCGGTGWATGTACTCGGTAGGCAGCTTTGGAACGGAAGAGGGGATTTCTGCCTTGGGCCGCCAGTCCGGTTTGAGTGCCGTTAGATCCGAGTCGGTCGAGGACTCCCGGTGCTGTATTTTTTCCATCCGGAGGCCTCGGATGACGTCGACCAGTTCGTCCTTGGGCTGGATGACCGGAGCCTGGGACACGAGTTGCTGCTGGGTCTGTTGGACACCGAAGGAGTTTTGCTCGGCGTTGTCCTGGATGGCAATGGGGGTCGATCCCGAGGTTTGAAAGGACCGCTGGAGGGCCGCCAGGTTTCCCTGGGTGACGGGGGAGGCCGCCGCGAATCCATCTTCCGCCGCATTCCCGTTGCTGTCCATTTCCTGCTCCTTCGACACSGCCCGTTTTCGCAGCTTCGGTGTCGGTGTCGCTCGGCGCGATCGCACTCGTCCCGCCACCGGCAGCAACTGTCGACCCCTTGAAAAGACGCTCCCCTTGCTGCTGGTGTTGCTCACGACGGAAGAACCAGCAATGCTAGAGACGTCGCTGTCCGAATCCGACGACTGGTTTTTCCCGCTGCCATTGTTGCTGCCGCTGGTGGCTTTGTTGGATTCCGTSACGGCCCCGACGGCTCGTTCTACCTTTTCGTTCCAGTTTTTGATGCGATCCATGTCGCGCGCCTCCGTCGGTCGGGGCAGCCGGAAAAAGAGGGTATACCGGCGTTCTCGCCTCACGAGCATGTCTTCCAAGACTTTGTTGCATTTCTTGATGACGTCTCTCAGTCCCTTAAAGGTGGTATCGTCCTTGAGCGCTCCACGAGTGGCGGTGTCTACGGCAACCTCGTCGACCAGTGCCAGCAGCTGCGGTGGGGCAGTCCGAAAGAGAGAGAGAGAGAGAGAGAGAGAGAGAGAGAGAGAGAGGGAAATCCAAGCACAAACAAGCGGCTGAGAAACAAACCGGACCCACGGGAGTTGCAAACGAGGCACCAAAAGCGCGTCACCAATGCATCAAAGCAAACACAACACAACACAACGCAACACACCGCACTCCAATGCGACACAAGACGAGACGAGGTCGGACTTACAAAGTCGATGTTCCCCATGAAATCCCAGAGAATGGTCCGGCCGGCGAATTCCTCGTCGGTCATGACGGTCACGGTTTTCGTTTCTCCCGTCGCCTCGTCGGTGATCTCCTCCTCCTTCTGTGGCTTGGTCGGGGTCTGTCCCACCGCCGTGAAGGCGTCCTTGAGTCCCACCGCCAGCTCGTGAAAGAGCTTGAGGTTGGTGGGCGCCTTGCGGGGGAGCTTSGAGGTGGACCCGGGCGCCTTTTGGTTGTAGTAGCCGTCGGAGCGGCAGGAAGTGACCGTCACCACGGTGGCACGGTTTCGGCGTCCCTCCGACGAGGAGGATTGGTCCGAGGAGGCGTCCGTGTCGGATCCGTCTCCGCCCGGGCGGGAGTCCCGCTTGTGCCGGGAGGACCTGGACCTCGAGAGGGACCGGACCACCCTGCCGATGCGGGAGCCCCTCTTTTCGTCCCGGCCACCCCGCTTGGAGGACTTTCCGGCCCCRCCGGTGGCAATGGAAGCGGCGGCGGCCCCATCGATCTTGGTGCCGCTCGCACTCGCACTCGCGCCGTCCCGGGAAGAGGCCAGGGACGAGGACGACGASTCGTTCAGGTCCACCAGGATGCTGCTGGTGCTGCTGGGGTTGTTGTTGTTGTTGTCGCCGCTCGCTTGTTTGCTAGTGYTCCGGCTGCTCTTGTTTTTGCTGTCTCTCTTTGTCTTCGAGGAGAGRCCGAGGCGTTTCCGGATGCTCTTCTTCTTGTCCCCTCCGTTTTTCGAAACAAGGTTTGCCCTCGCATCTTTTTCGTCCTCTCCGAGAGCGGGGGTTAGCGACACGGACAGAGACGCCATGGTGGTTTTTCTGGTGGTTGTCGTGTGTCGTACAGTGGTTGGATAAGATTTGCGATGCCCCGCTTCGATCGATTCCGAATGCGGYGGTGTTTCYGGTTTCGGTCTGCTGCTCTCTGGGTGTCACGGTCTTTGTCTTCAGACTGCCGCGCAGCACCAAGCCGGAGTACCGGTATCTCTCTCTCTCTCACTCTTTCTCGATTGTTGCAAAGGATCCAAACGACCGGTAGGTTCTATGCTTTGGCCAAGGAGTTCGCGGTATGGATTGGATCGGATTGGATTGGATTGGATTGGATTGGATTAGATTGGATTGGATTGGATGCAGTGTGAATGGATCGGCCCTCTTGTCCTCGGTGTCCGTTGCTTCCCTGGGACTTTCTATCTGCAGAGTCGATCCGAGTGCTCGCAGTATTCCTACACGTACCGGTACTGGTACTGATACTAACTACTAGGAGGAATGCGGCAGCATAGCATTCGCATTTCCTTTTCGAGAGATGTCGCCGTTGTCGAGACCGTAGGTAAAGTACGTACGAGTACCGTACAATACCGCCATCAGGCAGTTGGTACAGTAGTCCCGTTCTTGCCATACTGTATGCTCTATCGTAGGATGCCGTACGTACGGCACGTAGATGACCGGTTGGAACTGTGCGGTACGTACCCGCTAGGAGTTTTTGTGCGGTACTACGGTTATTTTTGAGAGAGGGGCGAGCTCCTGCGGGTCTGCACCGGGTAGCGCACCGTACCGCATAGTGGGTACTGTACGATACGATACGATGCTCACCGTACGGTACGGTACGAGCGGACCAACGTCGCCTCTGCGCGCTGTCTGTCGCAATGCCCTGCGATGCGCGATGCGATGCGATGCACGAACCAGCAAGAACGACTGACCAATCCGAAAAACGGATGCACATTGGATCAACTCGTACGAGTTCTACATAAAGTACAGTACCGTACAGTTATCGTACGGTACACGACAGAAGATTCTTTGTTTGTGTTGTATGTGATTTCAAATACGAGCGGGAAAGCAGGGTGAGTCGCGTCCGTCGACGACTCCGCGCGGGAGTTACACTCCGAGGTCCCTGCAACGCACCGCACCGGCACCGGCACCGAAGAATTGTTGCTTCGAACCGGACCGAACCGAACCAAACCAGTCCCAAAACCAAAAAACCTGCGAGACGTTGCCACCCATAGTTTCCCTTGCCCTCCTCCACTGGGTCCTGCTTTCTTGCACGGGACAACTCCCCCAGCTGTAATGACTTTTTCTGTTCCTCCCCGCATCGCAACGACGCCAGAGAGTTTCTGTCGAACGGCACGCAGATACAGTACAATACGGTACAATACGATACGATACGATTCCGTAGTACAGTATAACAACGATCCGCAGAGACTGCTGCGCCGTTGCCACAGCCAACACACCCCGTCGCTCGCACTGGAACGCCGTGCCCGGACGACCCGGGCCCCTGATGCCACCGTTGCCGCTGTTGCCATGACGGAAGAAATCGACTTTGGCGGTTCGGAAACCCCCACGCCGAGCCTCTTCGGAGGCCCCCCCCGGCCCGTCCGGGAGGAGCCCGAGGAAATTCGACTGCATGCTCGGACACAACACACCGAGACACACACCGAGACACACACCGAGACACATACACATACACAGACCAGCACCCGCGCCCCGCCGCAGCTGAGGCTCCCCCGCACCGGCGGCGGCCTCCAAAACCGGGCCGCCTTTCTGCGAGACTCGATCCGGTCCCAGATCGGCGAGGGCCTGGGGAGCCCCCGCCACGCCGCGCAGCTCCAGAAACGGAAGGAGCAGGCCGGGAGGCTCGTCCTCGAGGGCCTGGGGAACGGGTGGAACAAGATCCAGGCGGCGGGCGCGAACCTGGGCGGCCTGATCGACCGGATGGAGCGGGACCAGGAGCTCGCCGATTCCCTGGAATCCCTGAACTCGCGCATGAGGGAGGAGGCGGAGCGACAGGAGCTCCGGAGGGAGGCCGAGAGCCTCTCGAAGAAGGTCATCACCGACCACCTCTCCGGCTTTCTGGAAGAGCACCCGCAGGGGACCTACGAGGAGTGGATCTCGGACCTGCACCCGGAAAACGCGAACCAGGGCCTGCTCTTTTCGGACATCCAGCAGATCGACGACCGCTTCTACGTGCAGGAGAGCGACCACCGCATGCTCTGGAACACCGCCGTCGAGAACCAGCACGC